TCATCACCTGAACGGCGAATGCCTCACGAGAATCAGACTCACGTGAGGGCCTCCTTCTCGGGATACCCCTCTTCCATGCAATACCCGGAGGACCCGTACGGCATATACGGCATGAGGTCGGGTGCGGCCACTCCTGTCATCGACGAAGAGGCCAGAGTTCGGATGCAACAGATGGAGAGACAGATCGTCAGTCTGACTAATGTTGTGACCAAAGCCCTCACACCCGCTCACAACAACTCTGCCATCAAATCCGGTTTGTCTTTCGTTACCATTTGCTCTCATATTTCGTAACTGTTTTCACATTAATTCCAATAAAATCTCAATTTTTTGATTTTAATTGAATTTCACATTTACTGGTATATCATAATTGTCTAAATGTTTTGTGGTTTAAAAACTAATCTAACATTTGTTTACAACAACTTTTTGTTATTAAAGACAAACGCAATCCTTTAATACAGCAATCGGTTTATTCACTCATTTTACACAATAATACACTAAACTGCTCTGTAATTCACACGAAAGCATGCAATTAGTGTCTGTTTTAAGTTAATTAACTAATATTTATAGCGCTTTGTGTTTGGATTTAACGTTTGATTCGGTATTGCAGATGAAGAATCAGATGTAGAAACTAATGAAATTGATAGCAATTTAACAAATGCTCAAATCCAGAGACAACACTTCAAAGGTAGTCATCCAATGCTTTCCAATCACTTTTTCGTTAAGAGTTTTATTTGAAAATTGCTTTATTTATCGATTTTTAATTTGCGAAACATTCGCTACATTTTTGTAAAACACTTGTGTTTTATGACAATTAATGCTGTGTTTTGTTGAATGACTGATGAATGTTGTGATTACTATAGAAGAGAAATCCGTATCATTTTCTGAGGAGACATCAGACTCGGATCAGTTCATACATTCCCCACAGCGCGCAGGTTATTGTCTTCACTCACTAACACTCATTAACCTTTTATCGGTTCCCTTTCCTCCCATTCCCCTTGCTTTGGCTTATAGTTTGTTCATTTGTTCATTCAATGCATGAATGGGTTTTCTATTTAAGTTTTTTTGTGAATTCTTTAATCCATTTTTTGTTTTAAAGAAACTATTTTTCATTTAATTAAACACTTTTTTGTTAAATCATAGCTCTCTTTGTGAGTCCTTTTCTTTCAGTTATGTTTTTTTCTCTTTCCTTACGACTAATTTAGCCGAAAGACCCGCAAAGTCAGCGATTAAGGCGCCACCATCTCTATCCACTTCAGGTCTTATAACCACTCTTTTTACACATCTGTTCACACAAACAACTCATACAAACATTTCTTTCGATGAGTTTTTATCTGCTTTTATATTCAATGTCTCAAAACTTGAGTCTAAAAGACTTAAATCATGCTAATTATGAAACGAATTTGAAAAATGTTATTTTAAAATTGGAAAATGTGAGACAACTCTATGTATAGTATTTGCATAACTCTTTAACTGTCATAAAGTTTTATAAATATTTTTGTTTATCAATTATCAGACAAGACTGGAAAGCCGGCGCCGCCCCCAAAGCCAGCGGCACTGGTGGGCTATAGGGGCGAACTGCCACTCAATCTGACAACTGATATGTTGTCGCAATTAAAGCAAATCCGCAAATTCAATTATCAGACAAGACTGGAAAGCCGGCGCCGCCCCCAAAGCCAGCGGCACTGGTGGGCTATAGGGGCGAACTGCCACTCAATCTGACAACTGATATGTTGTCGCAATTAAAGCAAATCCGCAAAAAGACGAAAGACTTGCGCGGAGAGGTTCGCTCATTGAGACGACTGGCCCTCCAGCAGACCAACAACGCGAGGGAGACTCTGCGCGAGGCGTGCAATAAGATTAAGACAACTTTGGCGTTCATCTCCGGCTCAGCCGACTGTCAGTTCCGATTGGAAAGGATGCGAACATCGCAGGAAAGGGACAGTTATGGCCACGACGTGCATCGACTCGACAAAGACCTCCACGAACTCGAGACACAAGTGGAAGAGTTGAGGTCTAATGTGATAAACAGGAGGTGTCGCGTGAATATGTCTCACGTCGAGACCATGGCGTTAGTGCTGTCGCGCGCCTCCAAGACTGTCGCCGATCTCAAGAACAGGTTTCCGCCGCTAAACCAATCGTTGAAGTCTGTTATGAGTCAAGAAATGGAGTGTTGTGTCAGAGAAGAGAAGTATAACTTTGTAGTGCTTTAAGAAATGAATACCAATTTCTAAGACAATGCTATTTTGATGAATAGATTCCTGAAGGAAGAGCCCGACCGGTTAGAGACAGCGCTCAAGAGGTGTAAAAAACTCACCGGAACTCTGGTTACACTCAAAAGGTATTTAATTAATTATATGAACTCTTTTCAGCGTTTACCTAATGTTTGACTCAATTCAATGATTAGATTGGCGTCAGTACAGGAGCAGAGGTCGACTACAAACCAGTCCCCATCACAACTCCTACAGTCGGCGTCAACCGACAGCACAGACCTCGGCTCAAGAGTATGACAAATGTTTTTGTAGCCCTTATTTAGTTATAAGTAATTTTTAGCCCAAAATCACGATTCACTACTAAACCGTTGAAACGTTTTGGAAAAATACAGTACAAAACAAATACCTTTTCCTAATTCTTCAAAACCAACACATTTTGAAACAAAACACCAATTAATTGTAATTATGATTGAAATTCAGGCCAAACGTATGCAGTCATGGCGTCGGAGCCCTAACTTTCGAGATAATGTTAATCACAAAATCGAGTAAACTTTTGATTTAGCCTTTTATTGAAACCTCAGACTTTTGACACTTATTCCCATGTCTTCCGTTCAGTTATTGCCGCAAAAGTGTTTAAAAACCATTGATTGAAAAGTTTATAAAATAAATATAATATACAGTCGAATAAAAATGAAAGTTAAATATAAGTTGAGATCAATTTGATTGTGAATTGATTTTGTTATGCTTAGCTTAACAGTAACTAATAAATAGATTCCGCTGTATATTATAATTAACGTTTTTTGCATTAATTCTAATGTCGAGTACTTATGCCTGAAATTTACTAATTATTAATCATTAATCCGGTCCTCGAATGTGTGCCATTAAAAGGCTATGAGTTTTATATTTGTGTTTAATTGGTTTAATTGAATATTTTCTAATCAAACCCAAAGGTCGGCCCATTTGGCTGTCATTTACGAGAATATATTCATTGCAAACTTTAATACAATATCAATTCCCCGAACAATGTTTCCCACAAAACAGACTGCATGTGTTTAACTACATGTGTGACTGCTATTGAATTTACTTTCCAATTGAACTACCTGTGCATATCTGAAGTGCATGCCATTTAGCCAAAACACTGAATAATTGATTTCTTAATTAAACCTAAAATACATGATTTTGCCGGACGTTTGCATTCGTTTTACTAAAACAGACTAAAATATATCTCACTTTTGCTATTGAATGCAATGAACTTATACTGTAAAAGCAATTGAATACAAATTGTAAAATTTTGATTTTTCTGAAACAAAAATTTGGAAAAATCCTTAATTAAACGGTAATATGCAGTCTGTGGCGGGGATTCGCATCGATGCCTACAATGCCAGAACACACTGAACACAATGATCAGGTCCGTTTTTGATTAGACCACCACTCAATCATTTCATACTTTCATCCATTCATTCATTTCAATATCCAATTCATTTCACCATTCAATCCACTCATACATTACTTATAGATATTATTGATATTTTTGTAATACATTTCTTTCCGTCCAAACAAAAGCCAGACTTTGTTTGAATAGTCAAGTAATACTATGTTTATCGATGTCTCCGTGACAGTAGACTAGAAGTGATTGTAAGCATTGATTTGTGTATTAATCAACACGATTACACTACCTGTGCAGATGTATGAGTCGGATATGGAGCCGCATACCATCATTCAGGTGACTCCGGCCACACCTCTGCCCAGCGATGCCTCCAAAACCAATGTGTTGGACACACTTCTCGACGAATTGCAGACATTCTCGAAGCCGTCGCCCCCCTCGACGGCCAACAACTCGACAATCGGTGGCCAGACGTCGACCGCCAGAAAACTGCTCCAATCGATCGGTTCCATGGATTCATCGGTTGGCAAAAAAGGTGATTGGATTATATGATTGGTTTGACATTCAATGCAATTTTGTTAACATTTATATACAAATCAAAGCTTTAATTATTTGTCAATTTTATAATACTGTTTATTAATCATTATTTCAAAAGCATTATAAAACTCATTACTTTTAAATGCATTATATTTTTGAATATGTAATTTTACTCATCTAGATTTATTTAGTATTATTTTATTTTCAATTTTATTTTTTTTGTTTTCTTGTTATAACTTCATGTCTATTAAGTTATTATTGAATTTTCTATTCATTCCGTAATTACTTTTAATTTGATGAAAATGTTTTACATATCAGAAACGAATTTACATATCAATTGAATTATGTTTGCGATTATACTTTGATTTTTGACAAATTAGTGCCTTTTATGACCATTTATTTAAATAAAAATCTTGTTTTGACTAAATTTTGTGTCATTTATGCTTTGGTTGAATACATTTATTAATTTCAATATATGTTACAGTATCTAGTGCATTTTAATTGACTAAAACAAATGGTGCAAAATGTTAACCAAAATGACTATAATATAAATATAAAGCGAATGCAATGCTATACTAAAAATGATGCGATTAGTGAAGTAGTGACCCAATAGTACCCAACGATTAGTGATTCCCTCAACACTTAAACCGAATTAATGGCCGAAATTCCCGCTAAACAATAGGTCCACTCGTGTCGACAATCCCCGCACCGCCGCCTCGTTCGTCATCTCGTATTAATCCTATAGTTTTGACATCATTTGCAGTCCGGCCGCCGACCTCTGCAATCAGGTCTAACTCAGAGCCCTCAGCTAATAGACCCCGATCTACACCCCCGGAAGGTATTGCCATTAATTCGATGATAGTTGTTTTTTGTAAATGTTATGCTTTGCATTCACTGTCACTATGTTTGCTGTAAAAGTATTGTAAGATTATCTTTTCATTCATGTGTTCGCACACACAGTGTATGCGTCCACTCATAGCCACGTCTAG